CGCTGCACTCTGTTCTCTCACACTTGGACAACAAAAACACCTTTGCCCGGATGCTGTTCATAGATTTTAGTTCAGCATTCAACACAGTCATCCCCTCAAAACTCATCACAAAACTCAGACTTGGGCATCAGTTCCCTCATGGGCAACTGGTTACTGGACTTTCTGACCAACCGACCCCAACATGTCCGGCTGGATAACCACTGCTCATCTATCATCACTATTAACACCGGTGTACCACAAGGCTGTGTGATGAGTCCCTTCCTCTACTCCCTCTTCACCCATGACTGCAAACCTGTTGATGGTTCCAATACCATCATTAAGTTTGCAGATGACACCACAGTGATCGGCCTCATCAAAGACAACGATGAGACCGCTTATAGGGAGGAGGTGGTTCGTCTGGCTGAGTGGTGTCACAACAACAACCTGCTGCTCAACACCGAGAAGACTAAGGAGCTCATCGTGGACTTCACGAGGAACGCTGGCCCACATCCACCCATCTACATCAAGGGGGTGATGGTGGAGCGTGTGAACAGCTTCAAGTTCCTGGGTGTCCACATCTCCGAGGATCTCACCTGGACGACCAGCTGTTCCAAACTGATCAAGAAAGCTCACCAGTGTCTTTTCTTTCTGAGGACTCTGAGGAAGAACCACCTGGCCTCAGACATCCTGGTGAACTTTTACCGCTGCACCATTGAGAGCATCCTGACCAACTGCATCACAGTCTGGTACGGAAGCTGCTCTGCCTCAGACCGGAAGGCGCTGCAGAGGGTGTGGAAAGCCGCCCAACACATCACCGGATCACCACTTCCTGCCATAAAGGACATCTACAGGAAGCGGTGTCTGAAAAGGGCTGGAAAAATCACAAAAGACTTCAGCCACCCAGCACACAGACTCTTCACCCTCCTGCCCTCTGGGAGGCACTACAGGAGCCTCCAGACTAAAACCACCAGGTATCGGAACAGCTTCTTCCCCACAGCTGTCACACTCCTGAACTCTGCCTCCTGACATCTGAATAACAACAACGGTCTGTATTCTCATACACACAACAGCAGCACATGGACTGTAACACCACCACCTGCACTTTCATCCGTTAGCCCACTACTGTACAAACTGTACACATAATCTACTATCTACTGTTCATAAGTACTCGCATACTTATATATATTTTTTTTTTCTTTTATATAGCTGTTTATACCCCTTCATATTATAACCTGTTCATAGTCTGTACACTCACAACCTGTATATATTTATACCTATAGCATATTCAAAGCAACTTACTGTATATTGTAATATATATATCTACCAATTTATTTTTCTAGCTAAGCACTTCTGGATAGATGCAAACTGCATTTCGTTTCTTTGTACCTGTGACATGTGCAATGACAATAAAGTTGAATTCTATTCTAATTCTATTCTATTCTATAAAAATGATTTATTTAAACCAATTTAGAGCTGTTCCTGTAGTCCCAATATCATATTCAAGCCTCTGTAGTAAAATATTGTTGCAGCGAGAGCTGATGCGGGCCCCGAGCTACTGCAGCTAGCTATTGCTAGCTGTGAGCCTCAGGCCTCATCTTAGACCCCATGTCAACCTCCAGCTCACGCCAGCGGGCAGGGTTCTCCTCAGAATCGCTCACCTGAAAGTACGAGCCACAGATGGGGGAGCCCGTAATCCGGTGCAGCGGGTTTCATACCGAACCTGCTCAGAGTCGAGGACGCTTCAGCCGGGAGGTAGAGATCCTGCCTTCTCCCCTCCTGGTCCTCGAGGAAAAGAGAAAATCCCAGCTCCAAGGAGACCACCTAACCTCAGGGCTCAGTTCCGCCTCATCTCCTGAACCACTCGGCTACTCAAGATGGACGTTGGGGGAGGATGCAGAGCCGGAGGATGAGCTCTGTTCCATCCCTGCCCCTCGTCCTCATCGTCACCGCCGGAGTGGTAGAAACCAGACCCGGAAGCGATGCACAGCACCCGTTCCAGTACCACCGACCGATACACCGAGCCGAGTCTCCCAGGAAGCAGTTCCAGCACCTCACCGCCACGCCGCACCTCTCCTACTCAGTTCGGCAAGACTGAGCCTCCTGAACCCAGTCCCAGTGTCTCCGTGGGGGCGGGTCCCGTTGCCTCACCTCCCAGGGTTCCGGTAATGGCGGAACTTGACACCTCATCCCTGCGTATAGCCACTCCCACGTCCCTCCAGAACCTACAGTCCCTCCAGAACCTGCAGCCAGCCCACAACCTGCAGCCAGCCCACAACCTGCAGCCAGCCCACAACCTGCAGCCTGCCAAGAGCCTGCAACCTGCACTGATCCTGCAGCCAGCCCTGAACACAGAGATTGCAGCTACCACCGACGGAATCTGCTGAGGGAGTCCAGACGGACTTTGCACCTGCCTGCTCCAGTTTGGGGATCCAGATGGACAGACGGAAATATACTGGGATCTTGTGTTTGTTGAAAATCCTTCTGAATTTCTTTGATATTCCAGCAACATAAGGGATGATGATGTTTTTCCATCTGTTGTTCTCCTTTTTTTGTTTATTAAGGTGTTTTGTAGATTTCCTCGCTGACTTGACAAAAGCCCAGTTAGGATATCTACATGTTTTGAGAGCTTCTTGGATGTGTTTCTTTTCCTTCCCTTCTGTCTTCGTGGGGACACATTCGGCCCGATGCTGTAAAGTTCTGATGACAGAGAGTTTGTGTTCAAGTGGATGGTGAGAGTCAAACAGAAGATACTGGTCTGTGTGGGCTAGTTTTCTGTAAACTTCAATGTTGAGGCTGTCCTCTCTCTCCTTCTGAACCAAACAGTCCAAAAAAGGCAGTTTGTTGTCGTTTGCATCCTCTCTGGTGAACTTGATGTTGTTATCGACCGAGTTAAGGTGTCTGGTGAACGCTTCTATTTCCTTAGCTTGGATTTTGACCCAGGTGTCATCCACATAATGGAACCAATGGCTTGGCATTGTTCCCTCATAGGATATCCTGATGCATGCTCAATAATCCAGATAGAAAAATCTAAAAAAGTTAAATCTGGTCTGGTCTGTGGGCTGGTTTCCTGTAAACTTCAATGTTGAGGCTGTCCTCTCTTTCCATCTGAATCAAACAGTCCAAAAAAGGCAGCTACGACAACGACATCAAACACAACATCCCAGTACATTTCAAACCCTGCAGGACTCTCAGACAGAGGCTGGTCCACCCTAAGAACAAAACACCCATACACAAACAGCGTGGTGTAGTGTATGTGGTCCAGTGCAGCGAGGACTGTCCAGATCTCTACATTGGAGAAACTAAACAGCCTCTTCACAGACGCATAGACTCAGCTGTTCACCTCCACCTCACAGATAAGGGACACTCTTTTGAGGACCAAAATGTGCACATTTTGGACCGAGAACACAGATGGTTTGAGAGGGGGGTGAAGGAGGCAATTTATGTAAAAAGAGAAAAAAAAACTCTTATCAGAGGAGGAGGCCTCAGATTTCCACTTTCAAAAACCTATAATGCAACTTTAAAACAGATTCCCAGCCAGTTTTCACATCTGATGGGAACAGAGGGGCCTCATCTGTAAATTAGAGTAAAAAAGACCTTAAGAAACCCCTACTGTTAGAGCAGACAGGGTCCCCACTAGCTCAGGAGCCAGGCAGAAGGAGAAATCCCACACAAGACAGGCTCTAGAGCAATGTGGATATCCTAACTGGGCCTTCCTGAAAGCAGAGAAGAAACCCAAACAGGACTCCAGTCAGCCAACAGGTGAAAAGGAGGA